ATTTAGAAGTTGGAATAAAGGTAAATGGTAAACCTATTAATAACATTCGATATGCTGACGATACGGTGCTCCTAGCTGGCAATGAGAAGGATTTGCAGTGCCTGGTGGATAGAGTTAGCAGTATTAGTCAGAGTCATGATCTTAAAATAAATATAAACAAAACAAAATTTATGATTATCAGCAAACAAAATATCGAAAATATCAGGATACAAGTGGAAGATCAAAATATAGAAAGGGTAAGAAGATTTAAGTACTTGGGTTGCTGGCTGAATGATAAATGGGATCCTGATGAAGAAATCAAACATAGAATTGAAATAGCCAGAAACACTTTTTTCAAAATGAAAACTCTACTCTGCAACCGAGACCTGAATCTAACTACTCGATGGCGAGCTACCAAATGCTATGTACTGTCTACATTGTTATACGGAGTCGAGGGATGGACGTTGAAGGCACGGACCATGTCACGCTTGGATTCATTTGAGATGTGATTATACCCACGAATGTTGAAAATATCCTGGACCGAACGAATAACAAATCTCAAAGTATTAGAAAGAATGTGTAAGGACCAAGAACTATTAACTACAATAAAACGACGGAAAGCAGCATATTTTGGTCATATTTTTCGAAATAACAAATATAGTTTCCTACAGCTGATCGTTGAGGGAAAGATTGAAGGACGACGAGGCGTCGGGCGTAAACGGTTTTCCTGGTTGCGGAATTTGCGCTAGTGGTTTAATATAGGAGAGGCCAGTGCAATTATCCGTTTGGCTCAAGACAGGGAGGAATTCCAATGGATGGTCGCCGACCTCCAATGAGGAGAAGGCACACGAAGAAGAAGAAAACTAAACATTTTAAACATATTTAACCTTTATAATAAATTCCTTTTTTTGGGCCCAAGAATCCAAAAATTAAATAAAATACTGGGTGTTCCATAAGAAAAAATATAACTTTGGTATGGATCTTAGTTCTGAAACACTCTGTATATTTCAAAATAATTTTAAATTGTGCACATTGTCTCCCCACATATACCCATAAAATATTTTATTTTTACATCTTTCCGTTTTCGTATAATCAACCGAGGCGAATGAGGTGCGCCACCCTGTATAGTATATTGTTAGTTTCCATTGGATTAACGCCCAGCAGTGTTTACAAAAAATAACTATTTTATTTTGTAGATTTCCTTGCAGTTGCGAAATACCCATATAGGATTTTTTTGGAGATATTGCTAAGTATGTTTGATATAAAATTTATAACTAATAATTAGGTTATTAGATTAAAAAAAATAACTAGAATTAAGTAATCATCTACGTATGTTATATGGATTTTACCGAGGAGTGTAAAAAATAGGGACTAGACCAATACAGAAAACATGTGCATTGGCGGATAACACCAATACTTAAGATTAACAATATGAAAAGTCATCAAACATTGCACAAGAGCTATAAATATCTCGGATGAAAATATTCAAAGACGGAACATTAGATGAGGTAATATTAGAGAGAAAAATGTAAGACAGAACAGCAGTTTTAAGGCTAAATGGAATACTCTGGTTTAAGAATATAAAGGTAGAAAACAAAAAAGAATTTACAGCTCTGTTGTAAAAAGCATAATTTTATACCTGCCTATACAGCTTTGAAGTATACACCCTTGAAATACACAGGAAGAAGTTTTTACTCCACTCAATATCATAATATAGTATTGCAAAGTACACAAGGCCTGGAATCGGTTCACTTGCCTGGAATCGGTTACTCGGAGGCTACAGTAACCAGGGGCGTATACAGGAATTTATTTTAGGGGGGGGGGTAAATCAAAAGTAATACAGAATTTGCTTTTTAGAGCGCCATTTTTAACCCAAAAGCCTAATATTTAGCCCAATTTACAGATTTTAGGGATGCCGGAGACACATGGGCCCACTAAGCCCCTGACAGCGGCAGATACAGGAATTTATTTTAGGTGGGGCCCAAAATAAAAAGCAATGTAGATTATGCCTTTTACGGCGCCATTTTTAATCCAAAAGCCTAATATTTTACAAAATGGGCCCATGGGGCCCGGCCCCGCCGCTCTGTATCCTCCAGTGCTCATCATTAGAAGTAATAAAAAACGTAGGACTTAGTGATTGGTGGAAAAATCCTCTTTCTTCAATCAACGGTATTACGTTTTCAGAAAAAAATTATCGATGTCCTTTATATTTAAATATAGTACCTGTTTAATACATGTTATAATAACAGACAGTTTTTTTAGTTTAGTCTAAGTAAGTATTTAACTTCAGTCTATACTAAAAAGTAACCGAATCACACTTAATATTTCGCTGTTCCGATTATACTATTACGAATTTTCGCAAAGTTCAATATTTACCTTAGGCAGGGTGCCCACCAAAGTGTCGTGATGCGTAGCATATGATATGGCGCGTGCAGCATGACCACGAAGTTTTTTTATCGTAAGTTTTTTTACTTTTTTATTTTAAGTAGGTAATGAAATGTTTTAATATCAATTGTTTGATTTAATGTTGAAATAAAATCTTTATATTACAGTTATTATTACTCTCTATTACAATCGAGGTTGCAATAGTATTTGAATTTACTTTTGAAACATAAAAAGACAACATAATATTATTTAGTATTACGAAATCACAACTCGGAGCCGCGTTTTTTTAAAAAAAATATATATTTTCAAAAGTTAAAATGACAACATTAAAAGAATAACTAAGAATAACAATAGTGTGAGAACATTTTGCTTTTAATCGAAAGAACAATTTTTATCGAAAACATGATGGTAAAAACCGCACATCAATATCTGTTACCGTTTCGGAGTTACGTTTCGGTATTTTTCAAAAATGTGCATTTTTAAAAAAACATTTTTGCTATGGAAAATTTTGTATTTTTAAAAAACATTTCCAAAGTACTTTTTTATGTAGAGTTTCATGTTTTAAGTAATTTTATTTTAAATTGATAATTTAAGAATTATCAATAAAAAATTTGTTATGGACATCCGAGCCGGTTCCGTTTTTGAATATTTCACGCGGAATTAATAACTAATTCTAACTAATTCTTGTCCAGATTATACGGGGAATTTAAAAATAAGAACCTTTATTCTTCCGCCAATATAAAAATCCATAGGCACTAAGTCCGGCGGCCTCCACGGCCAACGGCTGGGATCTTGGTTAGCTATTCAATTATTCTCGAAATTTGCTGCAAAAATTTGCTGATAACTTCAACGTTCTGAGGCAGTGCCTCGTCTTGCTAGAAAAATATGTTTTCGAGTTCCATTAGAGACAGATCATCAATAATGTGTCCAAAGCCTTCGACTTTTCGTGGCGAATTTTTAAAAATTCTGTATTTCGAAGGGGTCTATAACAAAATATCAAGTGTGCAATATTTTTGAAAAGGTAAAAAATTAGTAAAAAAGTTCTTTTCAGTTAATTAAAAATATACAGGGTGTCACAAATAAAAAATCAATTTTTCTGTTGATAACTCTTAAATTATTAATTTAAAAGAAATATATACTTAAACCATTAAATTCTACTTAAAAAGGTGCTTTGGAAATGTTTTCATAAAAATACAAAATTTTCCATAGCAAAAAAGTTAAAACGATTTGTTAAAAATGCACATTTTTGAAAAACACCCCGAAAGTCCGAAACGGTAATATATATCGATGTGCGGCTTTCACCATCATGTTTTTTTGATAAAAATCGAGCTCCACACACCGATATTAGTTTTCGTCTATCTCGTATAGAAAAGGATGTTTCCGTTTAAAAGCGTTCAATTTGATCCACCCTGTACAGGGTGTTGACAAACTTTTTTTATTATTGCATGCATATTGAAATATCTTTAAATATCTCAAAAACCAAAGCTTTTAAACATATTAAGCTCTTATAATAAATATATTGTGTCCTTATTTTGTGTCCAAGAACTTTGGTATGGATCTTAGTTCTGACACACATACATACATACAGCCATTACTCGCTGACGAGTATTCGACACATATCAGAAGATGGTCACGCAAGGCGTTTTCTTTCATGAGCTTTTCTGTGACTGAAAAGCCCGATACGTGATGTTATCTGCCGATATCTGCACTCCGGACATTCAAAAATCTCATTGCTTTGTTGCCTCTTTTTGGTTGTCGCTGTTAACTGAGTTTACAATTCTTTTCCTTCTCTACGATTAGGTATTTTAATATTCTTTGTTAATCTAAGCCAATCAGAAATCGAAACAGGTTAGAAATGAAACGGATTTTCTTGTTTTGTAATAATTATGCAAATGTTTATTTAAACAAATATAATACAATTCAAAGACCAATGTTTATACATAAAATTAACAACAAAAAAATTGTCAGGTGGGTGAAACACAAAAGTTTACAAATACTTAAAAATTAATATTATTTTTTTGTTTTTCAAATAATTAGTTAACACTATCTCAAATAAAATAAAAACTAAATAACAATCAAGAGAACAAAATAATTAGAAAAAACAGTTTTCTCTTTAGAGATTTTGGTAGAGAAGTAATGTTAAAATGCCATTTTAAAACAAATACCTTTGGTTGGTGGATTTAATCATTGAGTGGTTTTATAAAAATTCAAACATATTTTCAAAAATAATCCAAAATCTAGATTTAAACATATGAACACGAGCTGTTGAATACTTGTCTACATTACTTGTGAGATGGTCTATAAGCTACATCAGGTCATAATAAAAGTATATTGTTTTATGAAAAGGCACTCTTCTATAAAAAGTCTTATTTAGGGGAGGAGAAGAACAGGATATTCTAAAAGATTTAATACAAAGTCGCCAGTATATAAAACGACTTATCTATATACTTTTTGGAAGAACTGTTTCTTATCAGTTTAGGGTAAATATATATAATTTTTCGAGTATAAATATAATCTATTACTCTTTTGTCTAAATTGTCTACGATACATATTTGTTTTTATATTTGGTGTAAATATGAACTTCTACCGTTTAAGTTACTAATGACTAGAATTGCATCTTTCCTAATACTATTCACTTTATTGGTATAAAGCTATAGGAAGGCTATACGGGGTGATCGATATAAATTAAAATTAACGAGAGTGAACAATAATAAATAATTTTATACGAAAATTAGCAACTATGTTTCATTATGGACTATATTCGTTTAGTTTTGCTATTGCTAATTGTAGTCTTACAGGCTATATAGTATAATTACAATATTTTGACCAGGAATAAACATAGCTGTCAATATATTGTAATATATTTTTTTTGGACGAATTCAAGTAACTTTTGCGCGATTACTTCAATAACGTCTTATGGCAATGACTCTATTGTTAGCTCGGTTATGTAGTTTTATATGTTCCGGATTGTTGCCTAATTTTCCGCGTTTTCTTGTGGAAATTTATAAAATTCCAGTGGTAGTTAGTAACATCTACCTTCCTACGATACAGGCACTCATTTATGTTACAAATTTAGTTTAAAAAAATGTCGTTAGGTGTTTTATATCTGTTAGATATAATATCTTCTAATGTTATTGGTTTGTGAACGAGTTAAAATCTTACTGCTACTTTTCAATAATTTGCGAATCTAACAAATAGCAAAAAAATCGAAAATATTTTTTATTTTTTTTATTTTGATTTATTAAATTAGTGTGATTTAGGTTGAATGTGTTGAAATCTTTAAATAATTTATAATAAATTAGTATAAATGTCCAAGCTTACACGATGGCGTCTCACAGATTTTCAAAAATTGATAAAATCCATAAAATTTAAATAATAAAAAATTTAGGTTAATGAACATTTTATTAATGAACCAGGAATAAAGAATTTCCAGAATATTATTGCAAAAAAAAAATCTCGTATTGAAAATTTGATCTTAATAAAAGATATACTTTTATTTCTTTGTTTGTACTTCAATCAACATCAGCTGGTCATTAAAGCTACGTTTTTTAGTTGAATTTATATAATCTGCTATTGATGCTAACATGACTAGAGATATATCCAGAAAACAAGAATTAATATATTTTATTATTTGTCAAAAATAATTATAAAATTAACATCACTAACGTGAAATTAACATCTATTTCAGATTCTCGATTCCATGTTAGCTAGGTAGTTATACATATAATTAAAATTATCTTCGATTTTTTGTACTACATGTAGTAGATCAGCAGTTAAATCTATATTCTATCTAAGTCAAAAATCCTACGCTATATTTTTTCGACGTAGTTGCCGGGGAAAGTACCGAAGGCCCCCGTCCTCTCGCTAGAACCGACGTACCACCCGTCGTCGCATTTCTCAAGGACGTAGACAGTGTCGCCCTCTAGGAGTTCGAGCTCGTCGTCATTTTGGGGCGTATACTTATAGAGAGCTCGGTATCTGAAATAAATAAAAAATACATAGAATTGCATAATATAGAGCAATACCTACAAGTAGGGCCAGATGGATATATCTAAATACCGCGTGGGTAAAAAAAGAGAAAGCTAGACAAAAAAAAACGGTAATCTTCTAATAAGAACTACTACTAAGAATAGTGTTTAATAGTGTTCAATTTGCTCATCTAGTAATGATTAAAAACTGGTTCTTATACATAGCATTTTTTACATAGCGGTAAAAATACTGTTATTCCCCCAAAAAATAAAATAAAAGTGGAAGTTCAAATGTGGCGATTGCTCTGTTCACAGAAAGTTTGCAAAATATTGCCGTGTAATGAATTCAGACTGAACTATCGATTTTCATTTACTCTTAAAAATATTAATATACAGGGTGTCCCAGGCTGAACGTGCATTAGAAGTTTCTAGAGAACTACATCATCTAGCTCGGAGATTTTTTGCACATCATAGTTTCACAATGAGATCTATCGATTAAAAATATTTTCAATATGTTGACACTTCCGGAAATACTGGAAGTTGACAACAACTTTCTTATTTTAAATGGGTGCCCCCATTTTTTATTACATACTTAAATTCTCTGTAAAATTTTTTGAATTTTGATATTAAACACTTTATATCTAACATTGACCGTTTTTGAGAAAAAAATATTTAAAATTTTTGAATGAAAAAAACTGCCTGTCAAAAACATGTGTATAGCCTAAACGTCAAATTTATTAATTACCACAGCCACTGTGCCATAGAAACAAAACATGTGGCCTCGCATCTGGCTATCTATTTCAAAAATTAAATTGTTTGAATGTCATATAATAATGGTCGCAGCTGTCATAGAACTGAGCGATTAAAAATTATCATAAATCATTTTTTTCAAATGGAAACCAACTTTTTTTATTTCACTAGTGAAAAGTCTTTTCAATTCGTTACTTTTTGACTATACATGTTCCTATACCTAAAATAAATCGTTTTTAAGTTATTTAAGATTTAGTTTTAAAGCGTATATTTTTCTGGATTTTAACCAGTAGCCTATGACTTTAAACGTCAAGTGGTGTAAAACAATATATCTGGCCATGTCATATTGTGACGCTTTGTTCAAAAAGCAGCATCATTTTCGAGCCAATTTTGCACTGTTTTTTTCGATCATACGGAATATTTTTAATATCAATTATTATATATCACTACAGAGCGAAAATACTAGATATATTTTTATAAATACACTTTTTAGACTCTTAAAGGTGCGTATTCATTATCCGAACGAACGAACGAACGAATGAAAGTGCGGTATATTTAGACGGGGACCGAACGCATGCGGCCGTTCGTTCGTTCGTTCGCTCGACCATCCGTTTCGAGTCGGTACATCAAAGGCGTTCGCCAACAAATGCCTCCGGTCTTCTCGTGCGGTCCTATCGTGCGGTCCCCGTCCATACCACTAGCGTACGTTCGTTCGTTCGTTCGTTCGTTCGTGCGGATAATGAATACGCACCTTAAGGGGCAGGCAGTATTTATAATATAAGAAATTCAAATAATTTGTTTTCTGACAGAGGGAAATAAATTGTCTGACCGTTTGACACTTAATGTAAAAGGAAGCTAGATAAAATGAAGAAAAATATACGTTTTCAAATTAAATCTTAAATAACTTAAAAAAGATTTATTTTAGGTATAGGAACATGTATAGTTAAAAAGTATTGAATTGAAAACCCTTTTCATTAGTGAAATAAAAAAAGTGGGTTTTTTATTTGAAAAAAATGATTTATGATATTTTTTTAATCGCTCAATTCCATGACAGCTACCGCCATTATTATATGACATTTGAACAATTTAATTTTTGAAATAGATAGCCACACATGTCTGCTCACAGTGGCTGTGGTAATAACTAAATTTGACCTTTAGGCTATACAAATTTTTTTGACAGGTAGCTTTTTTCGTCCAAAAATTTTAAATATTTTTTTCTCAAAAACGGTTAATGTTAGATATAAAGTGTATGACATCAGTATTCAGAGAATTTTACAGAGAATTTAAGTATGTAATAAAAAATGGGGACACCCATTTAAAATATGAAACTTGCCTTCAACTTCCGGTATTTCCGTGAATGCCGCTATACTGAAAATATTTTTAATCGATATATCTCGTTGCAAAACAATGATGTGCAAAAAATCTCCGATCTAGACATTGTGGTTCTCTAGAAACTTCTAATGCACGCTTAGCCTGGGACACCCTGTATACCCCTTTATACTTACGGTATGGGTTCCGAATGCGTTTCTATATGCAACGTTTGGTCCAAAGGATTTCTGGAAGACTTTGGTAACGTAGAATATGTTCCGGATCCAGTTAGCTGAACGGGTTTCGCGTGATGAAATCCACCCTCACGTACAGTCAAAGGATTAGGGAGGTTTGGAGTGTACAGATGGCTTCCTAGAATTTAATGAAATAAGTCATAAGTAACAAGAGGTTTCATGAAAATTATGCGCTGGAATGCTTAAACGTACTAAAATATTTCAATTGTTTGATTTTTTTTACTTGTTAAAAATCAGAACTACAAGTAGCCATTAGAACTACACGTAAACCATAGTATAAAAATTAAGTATATTTGTAGATGGGAATCACGTTCAGATATGTGGTGAGCGCCTTCATCTTCTTGAAGGCTGCTAAACATGAAACAAACATTGGTAATGTCACAGACAACATATAACTTAGTATAAATATTACTACAACATTTAATTTAGTTTGTGCCATAACTAAATATTATTTAAAAAAAATTCTTGCCATATAACTGCTGTTTTGTAAAATCTTCAGCTTGCAAAAATAATGAAAAACTGAAAATATCAAAAAGTTATGTTTGTTTGCCATTATGGGTAAAATATAAAAGAAGAAGAATTTCTTAAAAGAAATGTTTTTTTTTAAATATTACATATTAATACTGCAAGAACCTTTCACTTTTTATTTATATTTGGAGCCGCCTGAAAATGCTTCTTTCCATCTGTGTACTGGCGCTAATCACCGACACTAAACTAAGTCTCCAGTTGATATAGTAATTTGGATGTTTGCTGTTCTGGGAAATTCAGCCCGTTTAGCTCGTTGTCTTTCCCTGGTCGGTTAAAAGATGTCCAAATTGTATTTTTAATCATAACTCAATTTTTCCAAATGGAACGAGGGTGGTACATTAGCATATTTGGAAATGATATTTTTTTACGAATAATTTCGTACCACACATTTGGTATTTCGAGTCAAATTATCGTTACATTTACAGCCATGACACATTATGACTTTAAATTTAAAATGCTACTTTTTTTTAATTGAATATGTCAAAAGTCAATGTGAATTGACTTTTGACATATGAAAAGACTTTTGAAAAGTTGTAAAATCATTTCCGGTGAAACAGGAAGTGACCGAAAATAACTGAATACGTCAATCAATCATAATTTATGTTATATACTAACATACTAAATCTCGTTTTTTTTATCTGAAAAAAAAATAAAAAAGTTATAGGGGTGAGCCACTTTTCAGAAACACCCGGTATATAATTGCACCGCTAGAAGTTTGGAGATTCCGTTAACAAACTGAGGTATGCAATTATTGCCAATTTATTATAAGAATTTTATTTATTATACGTATAATTTGTCAATTTTTTTTAAATTTTTGTTAATTTTTCAACTTTCTTTAAACTACATGAATTCTTATCTTCTAGCGGTAATAAACTGTCTGAGGTAATTTTTACAACTAAAGGCCTTCGACAGGGATGTCCTCTGTCGCCTCTTTATTTAATCTGTATTTGGAAGTGGTTCTTTGGGACTGGAAGAAGAGGTGTGGGGGAATGGGCGCCTTACTGTGAACATTGATAAAACGGAATACCTAGTGACCAATTCAGATGATAAATTTGACATTTTTATTACTGACAATGCAAAGTTCAGACAGGTTGAATGGTTTAAATATTTGGGAGCACGTATAACCAGAAAGGGATTGGCCAAAACAGAAGTATCTGCTAGAATAGAACAATGGCGGAAGATTATAGGAGCACTGAATGGCATCTGGTTTGGCATAAAAACATAAGACCAAACACAAAAGTACATATTGGAAGAGCCCTAGTGGAGTCGGTAGTAACTTATGGGTGTGAAGTTTGGATCTTAAAAGCTGAACAAAAGCGAGCTTTGAATGCACTCGAAATGGACTATTTGAGACGCAGTGCGAGAGTATCTAAACTGGACAGAGTTAGGAACGTGGAAATCAGAGCCAAAATGGATGCTACACAGACAATAGTGGATAGAACCAAACAGAGGGGCCTTAAGTGGTTTGGACACTTGCTACGCATGGAACACCAAACATGGCCCTACCGTATCTACAGCTGGTCACCTCCTGGAAAAAGGAATAGAGGACGGCCTAGAAGATCCTGGAATGAGGCCATCAGAAGGGCAATGGAGGACCGTAACTTGGAAGAGGAAGATGTTCTGGATCGTAACAGGTGGCGGTTAGGCGTGGGGATGCGACGTTAGTTGCGACAACCCTGGAGTATATATATAATTCTTATCTCCTTTTATTTATTACATTAGTTTTCCTTGTTTGCATTGTTAGATGCTAGCCACTATGATGATATTACCAATGTTTGTTTCATGTTTCTATTCCAGCCTTGCAGAATGTATGAACCAATTATCGAGACATTTGCCTATATTAAGTATATTATTGTAGATATTGTATATTACCCATGGATTCTTTTCCTTGTGAGGATCCATTCAATAAAAGAGAATGAGCTGCTGGAGATGCCACGGGTTTCGTGCTTGGTGGTGGTGGTTCACTTGGATCAATTAATACCTACAAACCAAAATAATATATTAATTTAAAGAAGGCATCCATTTTTCTCAAAGAGACCTGGTTCAAATTAAAAAAGTAGAAAAAAGTCTCGGTCTCAACGTTTTGAGACCGAGACTTTGAGTCTTTTTTCTACTTTTTTAATATATTAATGTTATATTATGGAAATATTTTTTTAGAAGAAAAACAATGGAAATAAATTATATAAGCAATTTTAGGAGTAAACCAATTTTAAATATTTAAAAGACCTTATGCTCGGTGACGTAGAGGTACAGCTCTCGTCTACCAATCTCAAGGTTGTGGGTTCGAATCCTACACCCGGCATTTCATCAGCCGACTATTTTTAATAAAACAAAAATAGTTTGGGTACCTGGGTCGCCTCAGCCTTAAATGAGTACCTGGGATTCACAATCCTGAGGTAATAATAGGCGGTTGAAGCGTAGTACACACATTACCTTTCCTTGTATATCGAACGGATCTAGGCATGGCAAGCTTTACCTTGCTACTTAAGACGTTAAACGCTATATACAGGAGCTATTATTATTATTATATAAAATATTTATCTCCTTATTACAATCTGTGAATAATTGACAAACTTTTGCAATTGATAAGTAGTTCTACTATACAAGATGATTTACGGCCAATGAGTGAAGTTAGAGTAAACATTACACTGTTGTAGTTTCTTACTTTAGTTGTCGTTTCATATGATAAATAGGTAGTTGGGTTTTTTTACTCTGAATGGAATACTCAGTATATTATATTTTTTAAATTATTTTTACCATAATGATACTATTTTACTTTCCCATTGATTAATAAAAACTACGGAAGGAATATATTAATAAAATCATCAATTGGATGTTGGTCAAAGAATGCCTAAAGAAGCTGAACAAATTAGGCAAAGAAAAAAAGGGACAGAAGGTAATGAAAGAGTAAACAATCTTGCTAGAAATTGAGCGAACACTCCACTAACTGGATCAGAATTGTTCTCCCCAGATACCTGGATCAGACCTACTTTAGATCTCAAATACCTGGAAGACTCCATAACCTGGAACGGGAATCCTCCAACGGCCAAAATCACTCGAAGAAATTTCTCAGGACTTACGACCAAGAAAATTAAATATTTTCTTTGATTTAAGTAAGAGCAATCTTTAGATTGTCACGAAGTTTTTTACAGGACACTGTCTCCTCAATGAACACCTCAGAAGAATGCAGATTCTGTGGAGAAAATGGGAAACGCCATAACATGCTGTGACTGAGTGCGCCGAGACGACAACCATTTGCCATAAACTTTTGTACGACTGATATCGGAGATGAGGAACTAACCTCTGTAAAACCGTCTCAGATACTGGCTTTTGTCAAAGCCCTGAGACTGTATGATGAGATATAACTCAAGGAAGGGGGACACAATAGGGTTATAAGGTCGAGGTCAATCTACAATCTATTACCTCTACGTAAGAAACTGGAAATATTCCTTTTCTTCCTCCAATTTTTCCTTCAAACCAGTTATCATCCACTTTTCGGGTGATGGTGACCAACTCTCCTTTGGCTAGTGACAGTTCTAAGTGAGTCTGAGCTAAGAAGTTATATTTAGCTCTAGCTTGGCCTTCGTGCGCTTTCCTCGGTGTGGTTTTGGCACCTTCGTAAGGAACAATCTGACAAATCAGAACAATAATTAATGAAAGACAGCTATTTTTAAATGAGACAGTATCTAGGCGTCTCAAAAGTGGTCCACCCGTATAACTTTTTTATTTTTTCAGATTAAAAAACGAGATTTGGTATGTTGGTATATGACATAAGTTAGGATTGATTGACGTGTTTAATTGTTTTTGGTCACTTCCTGTTTCACCGGAAATAACTACAATTTTTGGTTCTTAAATGACACCCTCGGTATTTTTTTACTTTATTCGATAAAAAATGACACTCTGAATAGAATGACATATCATATGTCAACTTTTGACATTTTGGCATAAAGTTTATCTGAAATTGTAATATGCGGTTTATAACGACATCATTTATCCAAAAAAACCCTTATGGGTTTTTCGCCACTGCACTGCAAGAAAAATCTACAAAATAAAATAGTTATTTTTTGTAAACACTTCTGGGCGTTAAACCTAAACGGACGCTGCTTTCAGAAGTTGTGTTTACAGTAATAAAAATTTGCCTAACAAAGAAAAAAATGCTTAACGTTTCGGAAAGTTTTCTCTTTCCGTCGTCGGAAGCAAAAAGAAATATAAAGAATCAAGAAAAAAACTATTTAAAATATTTAAATTGAACTATTCGAGAACACTTTACTTTTTAAAACAGATACGTCTACAAGAAATCGTTGACGTTCTGTTAAAATGACATTATATTAAGTTAAACTTCAAAATTAACAATTACTACCTGATAATTACTTAACAAGGTAAAACCAAAAAGCCCAAACTTTCTGTATGATTATTTTTAAATTTTACGTATGTTATGTTTACTTATGTAATGTTCTTTAAAATCAAAGAAGCGATTGCCATACATTACTAACATCTACAGATGCATGAGCAATACATTTATTTTTATCAGATTGCATTAAAAAAGCCTCTTTTATTTTTCTTTTAGAGGCTATCGCTTCTTTCATTATAATTTTGGCGTTATTAAAATTTATTCTGTGCCGTGTGTCCCATGAATGCTGACAAATCTTAGATTTGTGAAAATCTCCCTTTCTTAAATAATCTTTATGTTCTTTAATTCTAACATTTAAGGGTCTAGTCAACGATTTCTTGTAGACGTATCTGTTTTAAAAAGTAAAGTGTTCTCGAATAGTTCAATTTAAATATTTTAAATAGTTTTTTTCTTGATTCTTTATATTTTTTTTGCTTCCGACGACGGAAAGAGAAAACTTTCCGAAACGTTAAGCATTTTTTTCTTTGTTAGGCAAATTTTTATTACTGTAAACACAACTTCTGACAAGCAGCGTCCGTTTAGGTTTAACGCCCAGAAATGTTTACAAAAAATAACTATTTTATTTTGTAGATTTTTCTTGCAGTGCAGTGGCGAAAAACCCATAAGGATTTTTTTTGGATAGATGAATCCGCCACATAGGTATAGACATTTTTTGACAATCATTTGACTCGAAATACCAAGTGTGTGGTACCAAGTTTGTAAATTTTATAGGTTTATATTTTTATATCTTCTAGTTTATGTAACTTATCTAAATTTAATAAAAATGTATAATATGTATAATATACTGTGGAATATTTATTGTCATATTTGACGATGTTTCTCTTTATGCTTATTGTAACATAATTTGGAAGCAATGAAATATTATTATTATTTTACATATTCCACGGAGATGGCGGTTAAAGTTCTCCGGTAATTATTGACTAAGTCCAGTTCCCGGCCTGGGATCAAAGCAACTTAGTTCTACATTTTGCGAAGGTTATGTATTTTCCTGGGATGCGGTTCAGATGTAGTTCTGCTCCTTTGGCTATGGTTCCCAAGGCGCCGACAATAACTTGTATAGTACAAGACTTTGCATTCTACATTCTGCTGATTTCTATTTCTAAGTTCTTATATTTCATTATCTTCTCGCTTTCTTTTAGTTGTACGTTGGAATCGTCTGGTACTGATTTATCTACTAGTTGACAAGTTTTATTCTTTTTGTCATGTACCATGTATTTTTATTATTAAAATGATTTTTCCAATTATGCTAATAAACCACCCTTGCTTTATTTGAAAAAAAATGAGATGTGATTATAAAAACGATTTGGACATCTTTAAACAGGTCAGGACAAGACACGAAAACAGTGGCGGATACAGAGGGGCGGCCCATGGTGCCAAGGCCCCCCCCTTAAAATCTAAAAATTGGATTAAATATTAGGCTTTTGGGTTAAAAATGGCGCTCTAAAAAGCATATTCTACATTACCTTTTATTTGGCCCCCCCCTAAAATCCATTCCGGGCCCCTCCTAAAATAAATTTTTGTATCCGCCCCTGCACGAAAAATATTAGATGATTAAATCTAATTTCTAAGATTCCTTGATTAAAAATTAGGGTTATTAACACAGCCATGGCACTCTAGATTGAAATTTAAAATTCGATGTTTTTAAAAGTTGACAAATCACATGTCCTTCTATTCAGAGTGTCATTTTCTATTGAATAAAGTAAAAATATACCAAGGGTGCCATTTAAAAATCAAAAGTTGTAGTCATTTCCGGTGAAACAGGAAGTAACCAAAAACAATTGAATACGTCAATAAATCCTAGTTTATGTCATATAGTAACATTCCAAATCTCGTTTTTTAACTAAAAAAGTAAAAAAGTTATAGGGGTGAGCCACTTTTGAGACGCACCCGGTATATAATGCGTTATTACTTACTTCAACGTAGTTAACTGGAAACAGTCCGATCATAGCATTTAGTTCACCCTCGTACCAATTTTTATCGACCTGCCTTCTAAGATAAATCAGATCTCCTTTTCTAAATGTTAGTTCTCTAGCTGTATGTCCGACGAAATTGTATAATGCTTTCGCTACTAATCTAGGTTCAGGTGATCTGTAATAAATAATCAATTAACAATTTCTGATTTGATATTAATTTGTTTTTATTATGCCGAAATCGACCCACATTTTTCTTCAATATCAAATCATTAGTACCACCCTGATGAAGTTGTAAACGAAACGTCGTATCCAACTTGCAGGGTGAGACCCTGTGCACCGTCGCGTCGCTCACATGGCCTACCCACCAAATTTGGTCGCGATCGAACGACATCACTTTTGACGCTTATTACGTCAAAACTAACTGTCATTGTGACACGTGTCGTACACGGTCAAGTTGGCCTTGGTCTAATATATCGACATACTAAATTCCATTTAAATGTTGATTTTCACTATGCCTTCCGTTTCCATTCCATATCCATACCATATCCGTTCCGTATTTTTATTGTATTGACGCTATACGTAAGCTTCCGTTCCGTATCAGTTCCATACTTTTTATTATACAATTTATATCATTACGAAAGTTTTATTTTAAAAATTTGTATCTTTTGAAAAAGGTAATAGATTTAATTAAGAGGTAAAAGAATAAATAAGTATATGTAAGAACTTGACAACGCTGTTTCCGATACGCTTCAGTTCGTCTGCCAAAAAAATGTATGGAGGGAAAGGATATGGAACGGAAGGCAAACGGAACGGATAGCGTGCATTGTCCTATTCATTTACATGACATAATACTTTACGTAAACGGAAGGTAGCTGATACGGAAGGTATAGTGAGAATCAACCTTAAAGCGGACGATTTTTTGATTTGATTAATTGATGATGGGGTTTCGTAATGCACGAAACGTGGTCAAAATATCATGAAAAGATTATAAATTTCTTCCTGGGACGGGGCTCTTCGAGACATTTCCTGTTAATCAAATATATAAAATGACAATTAAAAACAATGCTTACTTTTGCGCCGCGCCCCTGTCCCATTACAGCTATAACAAAAGCTGGGCATTTTTAACTATGTTTCTGAAACGAGACACTTAAATTAAAATTATTTAAACATTTGTTGTCTCTGGTTTTAGAATTCATGAACACAAACTTGTCACTGCCTAAAGTTGTGCTTCTAGATTTAAAAATTTTAGTTTTTAAGTTTTCTATTTCAGTGATGATCCACAACGATTTTTTATTAATTACTAATTTCAAACTAGTTAAAATACGTGAACTTGTGACTTCTGAAGAAAAAAATAACAATAACTAATAGAGTTACCTTGGGCGGGTTTTGGTATTAGATGCTAGTTCTTCGAAGTCGTCATATCTGTTGAGTGATATTGGAGATTTCTGAGACGGAATAAAATTGTCTGTATGCCTCCTCGATTTCATGTCTTGAAGCTCCTGCATGCATAAAAAATAAATTAAAAATATAGATGTAAATAATAATCATTTGTTAATAGAGCATTATTAATAGTAGCAATTTATATTTCAGTATATGACTATATTTCAGTGGAGATCGTTAATGAGAAGATCCATATCGATATGAGTTAAAAGAGTTATACCGTATGATTGAAAAAAATGACGTCCAGTTGGCTGGAAAATGACGATCAATGACATTTCTCATATAAATTTACATATAAAATGACAGTGATCTTCATTTCATAGCCATCGGTAATGTCGTTTTTTTTTATCATACGGTATTATACGCCAGAAGCTAATATGATACAAAGATAGCAGCAATTCTCAAGGTACAGCCATTATTGAAATTATCTAGATTAAACGAATTATCAAATTTTAAAATTGATTGGGTAAATTTAATATTGTACAAATGGTATAAGCAAACCATTTCAACAACGAATGCGTTTAACTGTGAATTATAGAATTATAATAAATGCAATACACTTTTATATAAATAATAGAACGTGAATCAGTGGCGCATCTAGAGATTGGGCCTGGGAGGGGTAGTGACAATAGATATTAGGTATGTAGTAGGTTTAAATTAAATTTGCGATAAAAGGTATTGTGACAGTTAAAAAAACTTTGATTGATAGACACCTGTTAGACATTTCAGTTTTACAACTATGTCAGTTAAATGTGTTACTTGGATGGTTTGGTTAAATATATAAAAATGGCTAAATATATAAAAAATGGCTAAATATATGAAAAAATCACATCGCTGTCATATTTATCACTTTTTGAAAATCAGTACCAATATAATTATTTAAAGAATACAGGATATTGTCAAGTTCGTTACCTAATAACTAAAGCGGAAAATGTGAAAAGAACCTTTATCTATGATTTTAGATAAGGCTAGGACACTTCTCATAACAAATTCATGGGCGAGACCAGTGACATCTAATTAGGATGTTATGGGTGAGACATTGCGATTCTTGATTCATTTCCTTCCCTCGTTAAATAGAACACGTTCCGTCAAAAAATTCAAAACGCTGCGCTGTGTGAATGTTATTGAGATAAATTGCCATTTTGTTCAGATTCTATTATTTTAAATAACTGATTTTTGAAAGATAACTTTGTAGGGGGAAGCCCAAGTAAGGAGGACTCGTTGACTATGCCTTCTACCCTCTCCCCCTATTACTTTGCCTGCTATTATTCATTAACTCTTCTTTCTGTTTAAGCCAACTCAAGAATCTGGAAGACACCATCCGTAACCTGAAATGGGAATCCGCAAACGGTCTAAGACGAAGAAATTCCTGAAGATCGAGAAGAAAAAAAATGTCCTTGATTTAAGTAATAACAATTACGGTCACTCGAGGATATTGCCAGTGATAGGAAAATTCATAGCGAACACGAGTCCACATCTGCTAGACCAGAAAACGGACTATATGCTCACCAAACATGATTTTGGAGAAAATATAAGGATTCGCATTCCGACAAGAGTAGAATGGGAGAGCAACCGAGTAATGAACACTCAAGAGAGCTATACATCCGACGATCTTTAAGCCTATCGGATGGCTGTAATGTTCTACAAGCAGAGGTTTACGCCATAAAGGAAGCGGCCAGTTGTATACGAGAGAAAATCGCTGATAGACCAATAGAAGATATCGTGAAAAACCCTGGCAACTTGGCCGCTTTCAGAAGCATCACCGTGCAATCAGTGAGATCGAAAACTGTGTTGGACTTCCGAGAAGCACTGTCCTGGAGTCCTGGCTGCGTCAAGGTGGGGCTACTTTGTGCTGGGTACCAGGCCATAGCAATGTGGTGGGCAATCAAGAAGCAGACAGACTCGCCAAAGAGGGGACCAGGGGAGACGCGCCGTGCCAGATGACTCACCACTTGTGACGATCAACACACTGAAGGAAGCTATAGGAACTACCATCAAGGCCAAGCAGCAAGAGACTTGGCAACACCGTGAGGACTGAGCTATAGATCGAAGACTGTAAAGTGTCCAGTGGTAGATAGCAAAAAGACATAACAACTACTAGAGCACAAAAAAGAACCTAGTACGCATAATTGTAGGTGTCATCACTGTAAACTGCATCAAGGGGGTAAACCTAGTGAGATGGCAGATTTCCAACATTACTGCAGAGAATGCGGAGAGGTAGAAACTATAGAGCACCTGCTGTGCCACTGTCCGGCACTGGAATACCGACGCTTTAAATCTTTAGGGCAAGGTTTTTTGGAGGGACTAGAGGAAGCAGCAGAAGCCAACATTAGCGACATCGGGAACTTTGCAAAGAGCTGGAAGTGCTTTAACGCAAAAAAAGAACAAGAGGAAGGTTTGGTACAATAATACAGGGGTACCGCAATGGGCCCAAGGTCTCCGAGTGATGGATGAAACATGATCCCAAATCCCAACAACATAAACCTAACCTAAGTAACAAAAATCTTCGGATTGTCACGGCATTTCTAACAGGTTAAAGTCTTCTTCATGAACACCTTAGTAGATTGAAGCTAAGAAACAACAGCGAATGCAGATTCTGTGGAGGAAAATGGTGTGAGTGGAGATGGAGAACTAACTGCTGTAAAACCGTCTCAGATACTGGCTGTCACGTCAAAGCTCTGATATTGTATGGTGAGTTATAAATTAAGAAAGGTAGTCACAATAGATCTATAAGGTCGCCTTGATTAATTCCTCCCCCCCCCAATACAATCTACATTTTACAAATTCACTGATACTGGAATAACGTTAAGTAGTGAAATTGATTTAGTGAAAATAGGGAATCAATTTTAGTTTGTAATATGAAATAATTTATATAAAAAGTGCATTATAAAACAGATCCTAAAAAAGATCTCAAATATCTTACTACCGAGCATACTACTCAATGAAATATCGTTTGGTCTACCTTTTGGTGTGTTAAATGAGAAGACGTATTTGTAGAATTTAATCTAATTAAACACTTATAGGTTTAAAATTAAAATTTTCACTTAAAACTTCACCTGCGAAATAAAAAAGCGGTAAAGCACATTAGCATCGATTAGCGTGATATAATCATGTTTATCTGTTTTAGATAGAAAGCGTTAATTTTCAAAATGATATATAGCAAATAGAAAAAAAAGGAAAACCCAACACACACCTGGCGGTCATCGACCAAACGATACTCACTTGAACATCTGTGTTCACCTGCAGGTGTTTTCGCCTTTTTTCTTCTTCGTAGATTTTTCTCATTGCCTCGGCTTGACGATGGGCCAGCTCGTCCTCCGAAACATACTCCTTGATTTCGGTACGCACCGGTGTTTTGTAATGGATGGTCACTTCGTTTTCGACGTACTTCCTTGGAGATTCTAAAAGATAAGTAACGAAAAACAGTTAATTACCTTTATAACATTCGAGAACATACAGATGGGAACAAGATGGAAAAATATTTGTCATTATTCACCTAATAGTCCAAGAGATAAATAGCAAACCAACACATGAAATTTTGCTACAAGTGTTCGTGACCGTCTTCTGTTATGGACTGACGGGCCGTTTTTGAACGTTTTTCTCGAAATTCATTAACACAGTAGGGGTGAAAGATACCCTCGCATAACCGCTAAGTACTTCTAATTTTTGTCTAGATTATAATAATAATAATAGCTCCCGTATTTAGCGTTTAACGCCTTGGGAGTAGCAAGGTACAGCTTGCCATGCTAGAACCGTTCGGTATACAAGGAAGGTAATGTGGCTAGCACTACGCTTCAACCGCCTATTATTACCTCAGTATTGGAAGATTTGTACCCACTGTAAGTACTCATTTAAGGCTGAGTCGACCTAGGTACCGAAACTAGGTACCCCAACTATTTTTATTTTAATAAAAATAGTCGGCTGATACAATGCCGGGTGTAGGATTCGAACCCACTACCTTGAGATTGGTAGACGAGAGCCTGTACCTCTACGCCACCGGACACCTTTGTCTAGATTATACGGGCCATTTTAAAAATAAGGACCTTTATTTTTCCGTAAAGATATCCATAGGATTAGATCCATAAGCACTCCAAGTCCGGCTGCCTCGACGGCCACCGACTGGGATCTTGGTTAGCTATTCAATTATTCCCGAAATTAACTGCAAAAATTGCAGCTGGAAAAATATGTTTTCGAGTTCCATTAGAGGCAGATCATAGTTAAAAGTGGCGAACTTTTAAAAATTCTGTATTGTACTGTGTAAGGATGTGGTAAGGAGATTATAACAAAATATTAAGTGTGCTATATTTTTGGAAAGGTAATTTTAAGTTCCTTTCAATTAATTAAAAATATACAGGGTATGCCAAATAAAAAATCAATTTTTCTATTGATAACTCTTAAATTATTAATTATAAAAAAATTATATTTAAACCATTAAATTCTACGTAAAGAGGTGCTTTTGCTTTGAAAATGTTTTCACAAAAATACAAAATTTTCCATAGTAAAAAAGTTACAGCGATTTGTTAAAAATGCACATTTTTGAAAAACACTCTGTAAGTTGAAGTCTTTCAGATACCGTTGGGTGTGGGGTCACAGCTTAAGTAAAAAACAGCTCGGACAGTGTAGCGTGCCGCTTTGATCTTTTTACGCTCGGATTTGCGATTCGAAAGAGGGAGAACACTAGAGCGGCGAGCTCTCTCGCCAAAACCAATAGCCGCGTAAGCGGCAGTCAGTCGTTTTTTAAATTGTTGACTTTAAATAAATATGCATTCTCAAAGAAAAACATTTAAAAAACAAATTAATTAATTTATTTCTAGAAATAACAGCAAAATGAAATAGGTACATTGATTACTTATAGTTATTTACGAATGTTTCCAAATTAGGAGCTTTCGGTTTTTGTTTGCTACATTTAAGTTCTTATTAATATTCTTTAAGGTATTAATAAATTAACTTTTGCGTATAATTTTAACAAAAAATACATTATAGGAAAATTTTGACAAGGATGGTTGAATTTAATTGTCTGAAAAAATTTAACGAATTTACATATACTCTGTTTTTTTTCTCAGGTAAGATTTCGACAGACGATGACAGAAGAAAAGCAGATGACGTCCCATACCAATCTATTTATTTTACTAAAAAAAGTTTCTAATAATTTTTAAGTTAACTATGGATGGGTTTAAATATAAATTCGTCATGCGTCGTCTCTTTTTATTTTTAATCAGTTTTATTGGTTTATTTCAAAAACGGCAGATCGTATTTCAATTTTATTGGTTTAACGGAACGATGAACGACAAACGGACGCCGATGCGTATGAACTCGCTTTTAGATTTTTGACGCTTGTCAAAGTCTTGCCAAATTAGAGGTTATAATTTTGTGTCAACTTTTGTCAGTTTTGTCAAATACCCTGCGTTTTGGAAGATGATGCATTCTGATTCGTGTTATTACGTGTGTTTTGTGTCTTTTGAAGTCAAGTGGAGAAAAAATCGAGTGAAAATTAACTGTAGACCCAGAGCACAGTTTATGGTTAATACTCGCTGCCCAGGCAAAAAGTCTTATACACCAATAAAGTTACCATCATTAAAGTTCGTATACCATCTCGTCGTAGATAAGTGCATTTCGAATATGGTAGAAGGACCATACTGAACACATACTAAAACTGGAGTAGCTGTAAAATATCGACATCACACGATACGTAAATAATGGATTTTAGTACTGCACAAGAAAAATAATGCCAAAGGTACTGGTTTAAAAAATTAAGATTAAAGTTAGTTAATCAACCTTTAAGGTACCTATAAAATTTGGTGTGTTATTAATAATAAAATAGTTTGTTTTATTTATGTTGTTTTATTTATTCCTGCGGAATATTACAAATTTGTATTTGTACATAAGTTGATAAATATAATCATAAATGCGGGAAGTTTCATAAAGCTTGAAAGTACGAAATAGTACTTTTTTATATTTTTTTTGGTATGTAGTGTCTTGTTCTTGTTTGTTTTGAATTAACACATACCGTTTTTTATTAAATTAAATAACTCGATTAAATTATTTCAGTTTTATACAGTTTTTTTCACAATATTTTGAAGTAATCACTTGTCAGTCAAATTTTAAATATAATAATTTCCTGCTATGCGTTCCAGTTGTACCAACTTATTTCTTTGTAAAATAAAATAAACTACTTTGAAATTAAAATGACAGACACATCTATCACTGTCAAGGATCTTCTCGTTGGACAGACTATAGATAGTTACATACAAAGCTTATAAAAATAGCCTCCAATGAGGACACTAAATAAAAAAATTGTCACTTGGCATTAGCAAGCCTCCAAATAAGTGGTCGTTACCGTTTTCAAAAGCTCTAAAGTGTGAATACTTTTGAATTGAAAATTAAACAGACTATATTTTGAATTATTTCCATAATTATTTGTGTAACCAGCAGCCGCACATCCCGGAAAACCTTTTCCCATTCCAACAATAAAAATAAAAGCACAAATACCTATGGTTAAATATAAGAAAAAATCGAATTAAAATCTTCCGTAATACGGCCCTACTCGTCACCGGTGGAGGTTATGCATCGACTGAATGAGGCTGACTGTCGCTCGCTTAATTCAGTTAAGCATCGTCGGAGTGGGGCGTTTTAAATTCGAGCGTGAGAAAAATTGGCGAGTGTCCAAGCTGTATTATTCTGTAAGCTGTGGTTTGGTTTGGTTTGGTTTGGTTTAGCATGTCACCGCAAAAGTATTGGAAGTTTTGAAAAATCCAGCGCTTATTTTGGACTGTTTGCAGTAATTTTTACACCCTGTATAAATTTGCGCTGCATAATCTAATTACAGCATCAATCGATTGCTTATTTTACCTCATACTTTCAATAAATCAACAGAATTTGTTCCGTTCTATTGGAGTACGTATCTGTTAATTAACTACTACAATATCTTATACCAATAGGAAGTAAAGATTTAATTAAGTTCCTTAATTAGATTTACTTTGTTTTTCTGGATAATTTTTAAATCGATTTGATGGGTTTTAACGGTATGAGTAACAGTAAAGTATAGCTATAATTTTTAGAAAGCTTTTGAAAGGCTTGATCTTGCTTGTGATCTTGTGCTTAGTAGTTAATGTTAAAATTTAGAAACACTTGAATTTAAAATAATTTAAATATAACAAAAGCGTAGAAAATAATGAAAACCTTTTTCTTACTTTTTTGAATTTTATTCAGTTATTAAGTTAAACCAATAAGTCGTTATTTATAAATGTATCTCTAAATTTTATTACTTAATTAAAAAATATTCCAAAAAAAAAATAATACAGGGAACATAATATTACATATGTATCTATAGTAAGTATGGATTTTTGTTTTATAGCATATTCCTAAGATACTCATATCTATACTCATATATACGAAAAGGCGTATCTCGATTTTTGGCGATTTTGAGATATCAACGTCATGACATGCCCAATGGGTCATATTTTAACATAGCGGATTTGCGCATCTCAATATTGTACCTTTTTCATTTTATATTCGTTTAAAAATTTGCCCCATCTCAAATACTACAATTCTTCGTTATGACGGAGAGACGTATGTTGAGATAGGGCTCTTTGTTATATCAATTGTTATACTACAAGAAAGATGGAATTTGAGATAGGTCCTTTTGTTTTAAGTTATGAAAATGCATGCGAGAGAAAATCACACCATTCTACCTAATTATTTTCTGATGGTTGCTTGGGACAAAATAAAACTTCTATCATGGCAGCAGCTTTCTTTTACAGTGTGATTTTGAGTCTGTTTTTTTGCCAAAAACCATTGTTAGAATGAGCTAGACTCTGCACATAGCTGTATCGGGTATGCAAAAGATTGTCCGAGAATAAATGGCCGAAGAGAAATTGATCGAAAGCACAACAACGAAACGAAAATTGCCCCAATGGAAAATTTCCCGAAATTATAATTTCCCTAAGAACATTTTAGCGAACCAAAAAGTTGCCCGAAAAATACAATAATTTTTATCTCATTATCATTGTCAGGCCATTGGCATTGTCATCCCTGTCAATTTTTGGAAAATTTTATTTATTGTGCTTATCATCATCCTGCATAAACACGTAGAATGGAAGTCGAATTTGTTATCATTGAACAGGGAAAACAGAAACTGTTAGTCCACAGTTATTTGTATCAAAAAGACACGAATGAAGAAACATGTTTTGTTTTTGTTTAGTTTGGTTTTTATTAAATGGACCGTGAGTTTAAATGCCTTGTATTAATGCTCTCAATTAACTGAATAATTACTAAAAATGTATTAGTTAAAAAAATGTATTTTTGTATAAAAAACAATATTATTAAAAGAAGCTAGATAAGTGTATTTTAATTGATTATTGTCTTTGCTTCTGGAATGAAAATTGTCTTTGTTTTCAGTTGA